CACGCAAACAACAAAACAGAGTAGTTAATTATGGAACTGGGGCCTAGAGAGTCATTGAGACTTTTCAGGCCATGTCATAACGAACATGTGTTTTTTGTTTAGTTCACGGGACCAGGAAATAGATACCCACAGGTAGGCAAAGCTGCCAACTGTCATCGCCCACTCCAGTACCATAACTCCCTCAGAAGGGGAACAACACAAGGCTACCGCCCCCTGCGGACTTTCCAAAGTCATAATTGTATTCTCTTATTTTGAATTTTATTCTTATAGCAATTTGTAACTTTCAGATTACATTTCAAGAAGCCCTCACTCGAAAAATAATTTTATACATGACCCATTTCAGTGACACTAGACTTCACATAGGTGCATTTATCCGTATTTCGGTAGAGAATTTTTTAAAACATTATCTATTGAAATACATACAAAATCACGGGCTCTAGAATAGACAACGCTAAGGGGAAGTGGGGCGAATTCATCAAAATACAGGTATTTTCTTTCTAAAATGCTACCACTCTATAAAGTTCTGAAATCAAACATTTTTTTTTTCTATTACAAATAAAAGCTGTGCACGGACAGGATGTCAGGGGACCAGCGTGCGTGAAAGGAAGATGCCAGGAGAGGCGGATGTTGAGTTTGCTGCCAGTCACCTTAAGACGAAGCCAATGAAGATGGCTGAGGTAACAGTCGCTCCATTCCCTATTTTCTTGGTCTTCCTTTTTAATAATCCAAAGGTAATAACTGCGGGGTGGGGTACCCATCCAGCCTGAAGAACTAAGAGACTATGAAATTTGCACGGGGCACAACTGGGTACCACCTATGGATCTGAGAAACAGATCAGACTTCTCAGGTTGGTGGGGAAAGCTCCGTAATAAGAGAATTGAAGAAAGGACAATGACAATAAGGTCCTTTTGGAAGATCACCCAAATGGAAGCCAATGGTTTACAAATGGACACAGCGCTTCAGGTCTGCAGTGGAATTTCTATTGGATTCCCATGTCGGGCTCAAACAGGAGCTCCTCCCAGGTCAGACTGACAGCCCTCCCCACACTCGGCTGAGCATCATCCGCTCCTGTGGGGTCTCAGGGTCCCAAGGGGCAGCCTCCAGGTCCAGATGCCAGGACCTTGCACACTGGAGGGAGGAAGGGGTGGGGTTATAACCATCGCCTACATTAACCCATGAAGCAAACAGTAAACATCCTACAGTTGGATTAGCTTCAGGTGAATGAAGAAAGAACACAGTGATTTTAAGTGAATCAGCAAAGTCAGAATTTTTTTCTTTTAAATAGGCTAGCAACATTCTAACACCCTGCAAACACGTGTAATGTGGCCCAGAATGATTGCCAACTGGGGGCAGAGGGAGTTATCCCATATAAACCCAACGCATCTGCTCCATCACAAAACCGGTAACTACAAAGGCCAGCAAGCACCACGAGCAGCAACTGGAATCATGATCTTGACAATGAAGGAAGTGACTACAACTAAGTGAAGAAACTCAGAAGACAGACTTGTGTGTTGAACAACGAGAAGATCACTCATATGGAAACTCACGGCCAAAGACAAGTCACGACAACATAATAAACAGCAGAGAGGTACTCAAAACCAGATCCCAGGAAACACTGAAATTCAGAAAAGGAGACAAGTGCAGACACCTATGACATAAATGGAACACACGACCAAAAACACAACAGTATAAGAAGTCCCCTAAGAAAATCAAATGCTCGGTTACTGACATGATGCGTTCTTTCGCTTCAAGGCAGCCTAGGGGATCACAGTTAGTCTATCACGTAACTATGTGAACGAATTTCAATAATAAGGTACGAGAGCGACCTGCAGGCTGAGATAGAGAAATTAAACAAGTGTCAAATCTTTCCATTTGTTCAGTCTGTTAGATTATTAAGTCATATTTTCCTCCCTACAGTGTTCAAAAATAGAAGGCGGCATTTGGTTTGTAGTTAGATTTTTGTGTGTTGGTGTGTGCTAGTAACTTTTACATATCCTGAACTCTACATAGTGGAAAGCCACACTTAGATAGGCGCTAATGTGAGAGATAGATGAGCTGAATTTAGAATTCTTGATAGTTTTGAGGTCAGAAGCAACAAGGTCTCTTAGGATTGGGGGGCGCTTTAACTTTCTCAGTCAATATGCTATTGGAACATCTTATGCCAACATGAACCGAGCAGTGAGAGGGAATGGGTTAGTGGAGGTTATCAGCCACGCCGTAGCAGGCTCTCCAAAGGGGAGTTCAAGAACCGGTACAAACGGTTCACTACGGACAGTCATGTAAGGACAGAAATGAAGACTGAGCACTGAGTACCCGGCAGGGTGACACGGCGCAGCCTCCACACATGAGATGGCGTGGTTTACAAACACAGAGGGGTCCACAACGCCCTGGGAATTACAACACAACAAAAACGCTGCTCCACTGTCAGGTAGGGTCAGAAGCACTGGTGACAATATTCTCTAGCTTGATGCCTGAAGCCCTGAAACACCCTGAGTGTGGAAAGGTAAATAGGTTCCGTGAGCGCCTCAGTCAGTTTAATCTAAAAGTGTAAAGAGTGTAGTGGGTTTCCGCCTAGTTTCTGAGACCAAAATCCCAGTCAGTTTCAGAATTAGATTCCAGGAGCTTTGGAATTCAGCCCTCCCTAGCTTGTTACAGCTCGCCTTTCCTCTACAGAAGTGAAGTCAACTACAGAGGAAAGAGTAACCACCATGGGAGGACCCACTCCTGTATTTATAGCACCACTACCAATCACGGCTTTAACTACCAATGTCACGCTTCTCCTGCATAAGAAGCCTTTCATTTACACAATTATCCTTTGCCATCGAAAACATCCTCTGGCTTTATGTCGTCTTAAGTTTTAAGGTCAGGAAGTAAACAGCGTGAAGGTATAATGTAAGCGGCCAGGGGTTCAAAATTTGGTTCTCCTCATTAGACCAAAACACTGCTGAGCATTCTGGGGTGAAGACTGCCTTGGGGAGAAGCTGTAGTAGGATTCTGGGATCTTCCTGCTCAGGAAAGGGTTTGAAGATTTTCAAATGCTAAAAAGCTTAATAATTGAATTCCGAGAGAAACTTTAAGTGAACATGTGCAGTAGCCTTTATATCTTTTCACCAGGTTTTCCAGTCCTCCTTCCAGCACATAGTAGGACTACACTTCTCTGCCCCACCCTCTGTAGATAGGTGTGGCCATGTGACCTGCTTTGACGAATGAATTGTGAGTGAGCCAGCGCCAGATTTACCACCTTCTCTTTCTCCTCTGCCAAGACACAGACAATGTCCCAGGTGGCAGCTGCTGCAGGCTGGGTCCTGGAGTGAGGACAACATCAAGAAAGAGTCCCAGCCGACCACGAACAATGCATGGTGAACGTGAGACATGCATTGCACTGTTCTGAGCCACTGAGCTCTGGCGGCTGTCATTAGCTCAGCTAACCACTTCAGTCCTGACTGATACAACACAATATGGATTTCCACGCATATTTTACACAAGCCCCATCTGTGACTATTCAAGTCATATAGTGCACAGCCAGCCCTCTGTATCCTTGGGTTCCATATCCATGGATTCAACCAACTGCAGATCAAAAATATTTAAAACAATAAATCCAGAAAGTTGATTCCTACACAATACAGTATAGCAGCTATTTACATAGCATTTGTGTTGTATTAGGTATTATAAGTAATGTAGACGTGATTTATAGCATATGGGAGGATGTGTGAGGTGATATGTAAATACTACACCATTTTATATAAGGGACTTGTGCATCCTCAGATTTTGGCATCCTCGGGGTCCTGGAAGAAATCCCCTATGGATACTGACAGACAAATGTAATGCTGAGCAATGAAGACCCGTCTTACCCATGTAGAAAGGACTGGATATTTAACTGTGCTAGAATGTAGACAGCTGCACAGTAAAAAGCCTTCACACAGCAGGACTGACTGCTAGTCTTTGAAAGGCCTGCTCACACATGTGGCCCCTGGCTGGCATCTGGGGAGCGTTCCCAACACCCTAACATGGCTGACTGTGCCCAAACTGTTTGCTCAGACAGTGTGGTGTATGTGGAACACCTGCTTCCTTACCGAGAGTCTGGAATTTTGGTACATGCGAGGCAGAGGGTGCCTACGTGACCAGCCTCCCAATAAAACCCTGGCCACTGAGTCTCTAATAAGCTTCTCTGGTAGACAACACTTCACACACACTGTCACAGCTCGTGCCTGGGGGGATTAACGACGTCCTGCGTGACTGGGAGATGGGCCTCTGGAAGCTCGGGCCTGGCTTCCTTACACTGGGCAACACGTGCCTCTCCCCCCTTTATTGATGCTGCTTTGTACAGTTTCACTGTAATAAATCATAGTCATGAATACGCCACACACCGAGCCCTGGGGGTCCCGTGCATGAGTCTGTGAACATAAGGATGGCCTTGGGGACCCCCAACACAGCACCAAAATAAGCTCCTTTAACATTATCTGTGGGGGAAAGGGAGAATCATGCATGTGTTTTGGGGAGAGGAATATGAAAGGCTAATGTCTTCATTACTAGGGTGTATCATAAAATAAAATAATCTACTCCCAATATATCCATTTCCTTTTTATGAAAGTAAAACCCCAATGATTAAAGTTATGAAAGTTGAAGTTGAAGTCCCTGTCATACCCAAGGTAGATACCTCTTTTTTCCCCTGGTTTGGCTGCTTTGCACAGTGCACAGCCCGGAAGCCAGATGTGCTCTCTGTTCTAAATTGGCCCCAAAGGCATTTCATTGAATTGTAAATAAGTACATGTTTACAAAGGAATTGCTTGAACTTGAAAAACACCCAAGATCAAAGAAAAATAAACGTACCGTAATTATCACTGGCTGTGTCTGACTTCTCAATCTGGATGCTCTGAGTGACTTTTGGGCAAATTTCAATTTCTTTGTACAGCTGAAAATTACAAAGAAGAGTCTCGTTAGGATTTCATTATAAATAACTTAGGAATACTCATCATTTTGTAAATCTATTTTTTTCCGATTGATACTTGGAAGCAAATTCTCATCACATCCCAGTGTTTCTATTGAACGGAACCCATTCAATTTTATAAACGGAGAGGAAAAGGCCACAGGGAAAGTCCTTTCCTAAGGTCATAAAGCTGGCAGTATAGGCAGAGCCGGGATTTGAACCCAGGTCTCACTGGCTCCTGAATCCCACTACACTGCAATGCCTCCCAGACCACCTCCTGGTGGGACGTAAAGGGAACCAATCTTCCTAAGTAAGCAAGCCAAAGGCCATTTCCAAAATTTATGATGAAAGTTCCAAAACAAATAAATGTGTCAAAAGCTCATACGGAATTTTAAAATGTCACTTCATTTTGAACTGAAAATCGATTTGGAACCAAGGTCAATAACAGAAAACTATCCGCTAGCACCAAAAGAAAGTCTTGGTGGCTATCTAAACTTGCCCCCATCTCTGACCACACAGTCATTTTTCCAGAAATAATTTAATTCAGGCAAGGAAAAAGGGATGCCAGTTTTTCTCTCTCCACTTCCTTAGGGCATTTGACAGATGGCAGAGGTGAGCATAATGATTAGTATTCTGGAGGCTGAAAAACAGTCTGTAATGAAAAGCCAACGGGGGTTGGAGACTAGGGCTTGACCATACAGCCCGATCCTCTAGAACACCCTAATTTAATGCAACTCCCATCAAATACAATGTGTTAAGGGTATAATGTAATATGGTTTTATTTTTATACTTCAGAAAAATTTTCACATGAATAAATTCTGAAATTAGAAAAAATCGGTTATAATACTAATCTTTAGTTCAGAAAATATGGTCACCAAAATTATAAATACCAAAAATAATCACGTTTACGATATATTTCATACCACCACAGAATGCTCAATAAAATTTTATATGTGTTCATCTCAATTTATGAGTCTCAAGATTTATTTTTTTCAGTGTCCTTGAGAACCGATCTCTATCCCTAGGTGGCGGTATAACACTGTTTGTTCTAATCTCCAGAAAGCTCCAAAAGGCTTTCCAAAGATCCAGTGAGACTATAGCTCTGTGAATAATTTTTCCTTTTCTTCATATTCTGCCTCCTACTCTGTAATTAGTTTGAAAGTCTTCGGGTCCTTTACCAGTCTCAGGCAACCACTTACAGTAATACTGACGGACCCCTTAGCCACAGTACTCTCTTACTGGTTAGACTAAAATTGAGTTCAGTAGAAAACACTAATAAAATATAGTACATAAAATTCCAAGAAGAGTTGGCGCTTTAATACATTTTCCGTGCAACCACAATATCTGAAACTAGAAATTTTGAAATTTAGTAGCTTTATATATAAACATCTTGAACAAAGAAGTGTTACACACGTTCCTTTTATTTTATCAAATCAATGGTGTTCCGTGTTTTCACTCTTTTCAAAAACCAGACTGCAAGCTCAGCAGACTTTAAGAAATAACTGGATTACCCAGATACTTGAGTTATCACAAAATCACGACCATTTCTTACCATGGCTCCAAGCCACCATCACCCATTGCCTGAACACCAGCCATCTGCCTATCTCCCAGCGCCTTCTCTCATGCCCTGAGGCCCACTGGCCACCCATCAGCCAGTGAGTCTATTAAAACAGAAGTTAAGTGATGTCCTTCCTCTCCCGAGATTTGCCTTCTCACTCAGGCCCTATGTGGCCTGTCCTGCTGCCTTCCTCCCTCATCTCCTGCATCCTCAGCCCCCTCACTTACCTGCCCACTGATCCTTCTCACGCGCCTTCCTCCAAAATTCCTCGACGGCTCACTCTCGCACATCGCTCACCTGCCTCCCTGTTCAAACATCACATCTAAAAGAGCAGAACGACTCACTTCCAGATGCCCACCTCTCTTGTTTTCCCGAACTTTTTCTTTCCAAGCTCTTTACATCCTTGAAGTATTACACGTATTTACATCTATCTACAAACTTGAACGTCGGTTCCACAAGGAGTAAAGATTTTTTTCGTGTGCATCCCAGTGCCTAGAACAGCTACGATGGTGCCAGGCACACAATAAATGCTAAGTAAATATTTGCTGAATTAATGGGTATTTCAAATCAGTGTATCTGCAAACCCTTTATTCCCACCTGTCACTTTAAGAAAAACACATTTAATATGGCTTTTTAAAAAGCCAGTGCCTCCATGTTCATTATCATTCCATGGACTGGTCCCAACCACCAATTAATCATGGAAAAGTAGCCAAACACATACCACTTATATTAAAATATTTGGGGACAGTCATCTATGAATGGGTCGTGTTTGAGAACATCACTTCAGACATCTGTGAGCTTCCCGGGTCCATCAAAAACAAAATGGCGGTGGACTATGGAAACCAATTAGCCATGTGTGGTCTGATGTTTGTTCAATAAGGGACAATACATTGAATGTCTGCAAACTCACAAAAAGCATCCGGGTACTGTGTGCTCAGAAACCCCCTGCCTTAGAATGTCATTACATTCAGCTTAATGGCCTAAAGCAGGGATTGGAAACCAGGGACCCATGGAAGGAATTCAAGGCATCTGTGAACTGGGATGGTGAAAAATATAACAATATAACCTATTATTGAGACTTAGCATTTTCTTCAATCATAAGTAAATATTGGCAACAAACACAGCAATGTTAGCAGTGCCGGTGACCTTGTCACAAACAGAAATCAGTTATTTTCATATCACCAGTCTAATTACTGCTACTATCTCAAAATATTGCTTGTGCTTATAACTACTTCAAAACAATGATAGCTATTAGACCTACTACTAGGTCTTATTTAATGAGATATATATATTATCTGTAATTTACAAAATGTTTTTGATAACTATTTCAACATAAATGGGCCATAGGTAATGTATTTTATTTCAGGCAATTGAAAACATTATTCTGAGACAGGATCTAGAGGTTTTTCACCAGGCTGCCAAATGTATCCTAAGAACAAAAAAGTTAAGAATCTGAGTAACAATAGAGATGTGAGTGAGTAACACTCACTTGTAATCTCAGCAATGGCATTTGCTTCCTCAGGGATCTCTGAACTGGAGATCGTTTGCAATGGTTAAGAAAGAATCGCATGGTCTCTTTGTATTGTACATTTTTTTTAAAAAAATTATAATTATGTGTACAGCAATTGTAGATACAAACAGACTAAGCTTGGCATACCTCAGTCTCTTGTGTTGGATGAGACCACATAATAGCCAAGGCCTAAAAATAATGAATCAAGGGCCGGCCGAGTGACGCGATGGTTAAGAACTGGCTTGGGAC